TTTGGAGTGCCTGTATGTGAGCACACTGCACAGCGTATATAGCTTTTTCAATAACCAGCAGGTCATCCGAAGGGTCATCCACACTTGAGCCCACAACCCTGGCTTTGTGCGTGCAAGGATTTCTACAGACGGACTACAGAGCTGCGGAAAAGGCACCGGCTGAAAAGCAGGCGAGATGAAAAGCGTCTCTTTCTCTTATAAAGAAAGGAGATACAGCTGAGTCAAGAACACTCTGTCAAACACACACAAACGTTAACGCTCTTTTGCTGCTGCCTCTGAAAGCAGAGAAGACACAGTGTGAGGAATGCAGGGGCTTTCAAACGTGGTGGAAGGCAGAGATAACACACAAGATAAATATATTACCGAGACATTTATATGCAGTGATGTGAAAAATGAAGTAGACCCAATGATTCAGTCGCCTGTAGCATCACCTTTAGCTGCAACAGCTGGAAGTAACAGTTTTCTGTGGGATTTTGTCGTCTCTCGCTTGACTGTGGAGGAAATGCTACATCGTGCTACAGCGTTTCATTGCATTGAGGTCTGCTGTCTCAAAGTTGTATCAGGGGGCTCAAACAGCACATCAGACACCTCCTACTGTCAGCAAGTGGAAAACTAGTTTGGGCAAAGCTTTAGATGTCAGACATGAGGCCTCACGTTTGCCTCCAGAATACTGTGGTATACAGAGGACGACTCGATGACGCCGTGGTGTCCAGATCACCCCCTTCCACCACCGTGCTGACAGCATGAGGTGTCTGAGGTGCTGTTTGAGCCCCTTGATGCAACTGTTGTTGTGATTTGGTGCTGCATAAATAAAACTGGATCGAAGCTGTACCGGTTCAGTCGTTCTCTAATTATACGTAAAGTGTGTAACTTGCTGCCTGAGGCCTGAAGACTCTTGGGATGAATCTGCTGGGACATCCAGTCCCAGGAGAACTGTGGCGTTAACACACCTGGATGCTCCAGACCAGTCAACTCCTAAAACGTCTGCTTTTCAGTGTCTATTCTCTACATTTCAGTTATATGTTTAAGTTTGTTTGTCCATTCCATCCATGTAAAGCTTCACACCCACCCGAGAGAGTCCTTTTACCCCCAGGTTTCACAACGGCAGCTCTCTGTAACATTACACTTGGTCACTGTGTTACAGCAGCACAGAACAATGCTCTTTAATCCCTCCCTATCCTAATGAATACAGCTGGTGGACACAAATACAATAATTCTTTACTAATGATCAAACATATTTAAACCAGCACAAACATATCAGTTAGGGATATACAATACTATCTGAAAGAATTCATTATTGCCGTCAAGCAGACATCGGCCATCTATAAAGGCTTTAGTGCAGGTGTATTTGCTTTAGCCTGGTTAATCTACAGGTTGAGGAGCGTTATTTAAATTAAATGGCAGCACTGAAGAAGCTCATTTCCAAAGCCTTGTGAGGCCTCGGTAACATCTTCTGGTCTCTTACGACTGAAGCCTAAATATATTTATTTATTTTTCATGTTTTTACTTAAAAATAATATTAAATTGTTGATAATTGTTGATAATTGTTTTTCACATGACTAACTGCTCACTGGCTCATTAGTTTAGCTCGTCTATCTATTATATAAAACGACACACGTGGCAAAACCTGTACCTTTAAAGCTCTCAGCACCACCAGCTGGATGGTCCCTCTGACGTTGCCCTCCTGTGACATGGAGCGCCGGAGCGTCTCCATGGCCATGTGATTGGGGCGTCCCAGTA